ATATTCTTTGCAAAAGCCCAAATATTTTAATTTGGCTAAATACATTTTCAAAAACTTACCACGATGCAATATATGCACATATTGTCAATATTCTAAGAAAGTTTAATAGCTCAAGCAGTTAAACGTTTTGATATTTTTAGTCTAAACCAGCAGTGCGTATTTGAATCAACCAAAAGACATAATACTGCCATTCCTCATTAAATAAGCATCCAAAATCCGGATTGGTATCTTCATAATTATGCTAATAAAAATTTTTTTCGAATGTTTTAAGGTTCTAGCAGTTTTTATTGGAAGTTACACCCGTTATACGGATATCATTATCATGGCAGCGCAATAATAAGAGAAGAAAAGCAGCAAGGACAACAACTCTCTCCTTCCAAAAAAAAAAAATAAGTAAAATCTCCATCAACAACGTCATGAGAACAAAATGTAAAACACAATCAATGATAAAAATACTATAATGTATCGCATGTATAGTAAACGAAATTGTTGTTTATCATTGGTCGAACCTACTCACATGACAAGAAACGACAAGCAAATTTGCATTCCGGGATGTAGAGTAGCTGTTGGACAATTTATATAATTTATACTCTTTCCGTTGGCGAGCATATGAACGTTAACTATTTCAGCGTCTACATCAAAGTCAAGATACTAATAAATTTGTAAGTTTGTAATTTGGAACTTCTAGGATTCAAGATTCAAGGTATGAAAATGTGCTTGAAATAAATCCATATTTTGCATTAATTTCAAAAATAAAAAAAATGATAAAAGACATATAATTACTCACTTTTTTGTCTTGATTCGTATTCTGTATTTTTTTTATTAAGAAATGCATGCAGCTTTTAACAGAACAGTTTTCAGGTAAATTTTATATTCTTTGGTTTGATTAAAAATAAAAAAGATTTTTATACATATATTTTAAGCATGACGAATGGACGCTTCTTTATCACCATTGCAGTTTTTATTTCGGTGTGTGTTTGCGCACAAGGAGGAATATTTCACTATGGAAACAGAACATGCAATTGGACAGAAAAGAAAAGACCTGAATATTGTCTACGGTTTCAGGATGGTGGCTCACGTATTCTTGCAATCAATTGCCCGAGAGGAAAACAAGGGGAGGAGCCGATAAACTGCAGTTACAAGGGAAATCCGCATTCATGCCGTGCTTACCACAAAGATCCAATGCGATTTTATAAATGCTTAGCCGACACACTTGCCAAAATGGGTAATCTGTGTACAATCGATTCTGTTATTTGCCAGAGCATGTGTGACGAAATTAAATTCGAATTACAGTAATAATGCACAGAATAATAATTCTTTGACAGTGTTTCATTGAGCTTCTTGTTCAGTTCGCAGCAGACATTTTTTTGTATGAAATCATATCTTTTTCAATTATATACAGTTGTATTATATTGTTTCTATCAACCTTTCAGAAAATATACCAAAGTTTCATTGAAACTTTGTTTCGTTATTATTTAATAACAACCTATATGTTTCATGAAACGTTGTGTTAAGCACTTGTTGTTGTTGAATTACAGGAATTATTCTTTTGACAACAGTGAGTTATCTACTAGCACAATATAGATAAAGGTCCTTTATGCTACTATTCTGAGTGTTTATTGTTATCATTAAAATAGGGCAGATGAACCTGCTCTAAATTGCATTACGTTTATAGCAATTATTACTATTATCACCGAGTAAGCAACGGGATAAATAATGAAAAACACGATTATAACTCGCTCATACAATCACTAATATGAAGTTGGTAAAGTAAAAAATTGTTATTTTGGTTTTTCCTGCATGTATGTCTTTGTAAGGTCTCATTAAACATTTGATACATATTTCACAATTATTTTAGTAGAAACAGTCATGTTGCTTATAAGGATTGTTAGCTGAATGTTACATGCTGTTCCTTACCAAACTTTAAAGGGGAAACATTTTTATAAAGATGATATTGTAGATTATTTAAATGTTTCATATTTATGAAAAAAATGTCAAGAGTTAATTCAGACAAGTGGCCATAACTCGATTTCCGTACGATAAAGTATGTTTACATTTTGCATACATGTGACCTTTAAGGTATATATCTGACCTATGTTGTCAATTTTTCTGTTCATTGTAGTGCCCATTAGGATGACCATACCTTAATAACGTTTGTTACCTTACTGTCAAGTGGAATATAATCAATACATTGTCGCCAAAATGGGAATTATTAGCGAAATATGTGCGACAAAACATTTGAGAAGTGATTTTCTCTGGAATTTTGTTTTCAATTATTAGAACTTTTTTTTATAAAATTATTCACAGCTTAAAACTTATTGACCTTCAACGTAATCATTGTATAACTTCCTGAAGTACATGTGAGTGATTGCTGTATTCTTCTATAAACTATATAATATTATTTCTGCTACAATCAATTACATATTGATACTTTTTATATATGCAAAATTAAAACTGAATAGAAATTATAAACTCATCGTATGATCTTTGCATAAAACATGATTGCAGTAACATTTTGATAAACAAAAAGCTCTTTTCCGATTCTTGAAATTTTGTATATTCATTCTTCGAAAAGGAAACAGATACACGGAAATTAGATCATATTAGGTCTTGCTTACATTAATTGAATCTTCAATTCAAGAGCAGATAAATCGAAAAAATGATGTTGGTTACCAAAATTTTATATCACAAAAAAATTTACTGTCGTCATCTTATAAACACATCTATTTATTATTACTTTATTTTTAAGTACCTCTTTATGTACACTTTGAGATTATGTGGGACAGCAACCAGGAAGCACATTTGCCAATTGACGACAAAAGTAATCCACCGCAATTTAATAATTAAAAGAAACTGTCATCACCAAATCATATCTGTGTGTTAAAACTCTCAGACATCTTGCCATGTTCATTTTCGTACTCACTCTTGTTAATATTAGTCTTTTACACAACATGGTATCATATCAATTGTGTCTGCGAGAAGGTTTCGCTATTTTGGTTATAAAAATATCTATCCATTACAGCGAAGATTAAAAAAAAATGAATTCAGTAAAATTTGTTGGGAACCTTTAGTATTTATTTATGTAAAACTATTAATATTATGGCTAATCGACTACTGTTGCTGTAGAGATTCAGGATTGTTCTATTTATTAGGAATACATATTGTGCACTCGTCATTATTCGATCACGTATCTATTGACAGCCTGTACAGACTAATCTCACAGATGCTTCGAAGCCGACATGATACTTTTTATTTCTTACACTCAATTGATATTGTCAGTTATGAGAAAGAGAACAAGTGTTTTAACACTGTCCCGATTACGAGAAATCCAGATTGCCACACATTTCTCCTGTTACGATAACATTTTACAAACACTCTGTTACGTTACATTTTTTTTTTATAAAAATGCATTAACAGCAAAGCAAATTGTGTTAGCATGTATCGATATTTGACAAAATGTGTTTGAATGACTTTAATTAAAATCACGAAAAACCCAAGGTTTTTTACGTAAACAAAATGGTAAAAAATAAACCAGAAAAAAAGACTTTATCATCTTTTGGTATTGAAGCGATTCATATTAATTTAAAAGAAATGAGAAAACGATGGGCGAACCTAAATAAAATGAAATTTCAAAAAGGGATCATATGTTGTAAAATAAACACCTTTTTTGTATTGTCAATAAAAGGAAAATATATTTCATTTAGTGAAATTATTTTAAATACATTTTTAAAGAAAACGCTAGATTCCCCGACTCAAATCAAGATACAGGCATATGATATTTCAAATTTAATCGAAGGTCAACTTTTACAAGTTCATAAGTTAATTAAAAATATACAAAAATAACATGTATAACATCAGCGCCTTGCAGTCTAATCTGACAATGGTTAGAACTTATAGCAGATTATACAGATATGGAGTTAACGCACGTTCACCATTTTCCTGAGTACATTCAATTACCACGATGGGCAATGCAAGCGTTTAAGGACACATGCAATAGGTGTACCAACATCTGTCGAGAAAAAGACCATATATATGCCTTCGATCAGTGCCAAAATAATTATCATACAAAATTAGCATCTTTTACAAAAAGTTTTTATTTAAAGAAAATTTACAAAGTATAATAATAATTCCACTTATACGAGGGGTGATCCAAAAATTCGTGGACAATGTGTGTATCTCCATAACGTGACATCCTACCGAGGTGAACTCTTTGGATATTATTAATCAATGCTTTTTTAATAAATTGACCAAATTTTAAAACACCAATTGCATTTTTTTTCTATATTTGACATCATAAAAACATTAAGTATCAAAATCGTGGCGCAGCTTACTTTTTCTCTGTGATGTAAACGTTTTCATCTCATTTAAACACATGTAAAACCTGTGCAAACAAAGAAAATTGCGGGAAACGTAATAATAACGTTGTTTTGATGTGTATGACGTCATTCTGTCAGTATTAGAAGACATTTTGAAGTTGCGGTTATTTTACGCTCGTGCTTTAAAGAACAGGTGCTAAAAACAGCTTTATCAAAAATGGACGTCACGGATCCAGCAAAACTTCGGACAGTTATACAGTTCTGTGTAAATCTTGGAAAGACGCCTGGCGAGACAAAAACAATGATCGAAAGTGTGACAAATAAACCGTCAGTGTGTCGTTCTCTAGTTCTCAGCTTGGAGCAGGAGTACTCAGTCATTCACCGTATTCGCCTGATCTTTCCTGTGTGACCTCGCCTTGTTTCCCAGGTTAAAGAAAGAGTTAAGAGGGAAAAGTTTTGACAATCTGGACAAGTTGAGAGGAGCCACCCAATGCATACTGTCATCATTCAGCCAGGAATGGTATGCGAGTACATTTAGAGACTTGGTCCGCCGCCATGAAAATGTGTGCGGGTTAAAGGGGAATACTTTGAAAAGTTATAAGGCGAAACGGTAACATAGATTACTTCCAATGATAGCATAACGTCGTTTGTGACGTCGTGAGCTGCGCCGCGTTTTGTCATGTCTATGTATATAAACTAGTGCAGAATCGTTAATTCTTGTACAATCTTTACAATATTTTGAGAATTTGTTGACATATGCTCACTTAATAAGATACTGTAATTTCATGTGATTTGCTTTATTACTTTTTGTTTTATGCAGCGTGTCCACGAAGTTTTGGATCACCCCTCGTATTGAACAATTAACTGATATACTATGAGCTTGAAATACATGTGTGAGAATAATGATGAATCATATCAGACATGCACAAAATTGTTAAAACGTATTAGCTACTAGAGTTTGCAGCTGTATTTTGCAACTCTTATCATCTCAGATTAGTTGCACGCTATGCTTTAAGACTCCGAACTTGGTAGCTCTGTAGCTAATGTGTCTGAGAAAAAAGACAAATACAAATCTTGCAAATTTCATTTTAATGAAGTTATTATATTCTTCATTGATCTTATTTAGTAAAGCTACTTTAGCCGAAGAAATAATATAAAAATCAAATTTATACATGAAAGTAGGGTTTTCTTAATGGATTGGTTTGTATTTTTAACGTTTAAATCTGGTAACTTTTTCAGTAAAATATGATGAAGAAGTTTGATTTTGATAAATACTTGATTACTGATGCTCTAATTAAAACAAAACAACATATATATCTTGAATTGTTGATAAAAAAAACAAAATAGAAATACATCGTTTTCAAACAATGGTGTAAGGTCATTATTACGCTAGAAAAATCCAAGTTATAAATTGATATAAATGTCATACTCAAATGATGTAAAGACGAAGTCCATGCAGCCTCCGGCGGCTAATTTTCTGGGATTTGTATTACCGTTCTAAGGAAAAATAAGACACAAAGCTAGAGCTCAGTAAATAATGCCACCAGAGGCCCACATAGCATGGCCTCTTTTTCGGTTGGCGAAATGTTTTATCTGTGTTTTAAGATTTAAAACTTTCGTAAAAAGTGCTATTTTTACAGCTTCATCGCCAGAAGACCATTCTTCCAATTCAAAAATCCATTCGTGTTGTTCGATTTTACGGCACTATTATGTACAAAACTTTAGCTAAAGGGAAAGAGCCGCTAGAGGCCCTGAGTTTCTGACTTGCATTGGAAACAAAAATACATTTATGTATATTTATATATAAATATTTTTCTCTTTTCTGACAAATTTCCTGAGCAAAAATTTCCAGTCACTTAATCAGACACAATATATTTTGAACCAAGATTCAAACCACTAAACCTCAAACATTCTGAGCAATTACCACATGCTTCCAAAAAGTTGTTAGGAGACGATAAGAAGCAAACCAAATGAATGTAAACAAGAGCAACACTAAGGCGGGATAATTTACGCCTAGATGAAATTTGCTTGAGTTATAAAAATAATAATTCAATTGCAGAGAGACCTATCTACGCAACTCGACTGGAAAATGTTTTATCTATTTGATCCTAATTACACTTAATGATAGCAGGGTTTGAGCAT